ACATATCCAAAAAATCAAAAGAATTCACAAAATTTCCTGAGTTGGTAGGCATAGCCGCTACTCAGCTTTATCTAGCATTATAATATTGCTTTTGAATTATTTTACAATATTAGTTAAATATCGACTAAGTAGGCAAGCTAGCATTAAACTTTTCTGAAATAATGAAAGAAATGTTGTTTCTTTCACAATGTATACTATATTATATATAAATATCAAATAAAGAAATGATGTTTATCTACGGGGGAAACCCCCCCAAAAAAAAATTATATATAAAATTGTTTTAATATTTGATAATATTTAATTAGTTAAATTTGAAATAACAATTAATTAATAGAAGTAAACCAATTATGATTTTTTATTTTTTGTAATATAATAAGATATACTAAGCAATAGTAAAAATAGATATTGAATATATTACTGGTTTTTCAAGTTAACAATATAAACAATTTTAATATAAAATTTAATTTTTTAAATTAAAGAAAAGTTTTTAAAAAAAATATAATTATTTAATAAGAATTATATATTAAAAAAAGTAAAAATAAAAAGAATTTCAAGAAAAATTTATAAATAAGTAATTATTATAAATCTTTTTTCATACAATTAAAAGAAAATAAAAATTTAAACTTGTTTTTTTTAATTAAAGATTTTATTTCAATATAATAGTATATTTTTTGATTTTCTTAAAACTTTTTATAATAAAAATAAAGAAAGTGTAAAGAATTTTTAAATATTAAAAAACAAAAAAAATTAATATAAAAAAAATTTTTTTAAAAAAAAGTTATTTACAAAAAAAAAGTTTATTTTATTTTTTTTCTTCAAATAAAAATTTTAATTCCTATTATAAACTATTATAATATTTAATTTCTAATTAAAAATTTAAAATAAATTATTTATTTTTTTTATTATTAGAATTATATTAAATTAAAAATTTAATTTAAAACAAATTTAATTACTTTTTTATATATTTTTAATCTTATTTTTAATTATTATAATTTAATTATTTTTATTAAAATATGTAAATATTATCTCTTTATTATTATAAAAATTTTAAATTATTTTATATACAAAAAGTGACAACATATCTCACATGATCAATTGATTAATAAGTTTAATATTAGCTTGCCTACAGAAACTATCTAAACAACATGAAAAATAAATATTAAAACTGATATAATTATCAATTATTTACTATATATTACTTAGTAATTCTGACATAATATGGTTTTTGAAAAATATTTAAATATAATTTCATTATATATATATATATGTACGATATATTAAATATATTTTTGTTTATTATAAAATCATATTTTGATAAATGATAAAAAACAATTAAATAATAAAAATAAAAATAATTTTATTTTAATTAAAAAAATTGATAAAAGAATTTATTAATTATCATAAAAATTCTACTACAATAATAATTATAAGAGCGAGATTAGATTAAATTATGAAATAATAATTTTTATTGTAAAAACCTTTTTATTTAACTTAGGTATCAAAGTACACTATAATTGATAAATCACAGTATTAGATATTCTTTCAAATAAGTCAAATCAAAATTCAAATCCAAATCATTATTATTACTTGTGAATATAATTTTTTTTTTTTTAAAAAAAAATTTTTTTGATAAATTTTGAAATTTCATATTGTAATTTCGTAAAATAAATATTGTTTCATTGTTTACGATATATTTGATATTCTTATGATAACATTGTAAATAAAAATAACGCATATACAAAATTTTATATTTTTTTTTAACTCGCCCGGGCGGCCCCAGACATGGAATGATTCATATTTACGTAGGAATTATATACATGATTCCGAATACTAGACATCATGTTATCTATTAGTGACGTTATTTTCTTTGAACTCATTTTCGGTGGTGGCGTTGGGTGCTTATTTTCTAATTATTCCAATTTTCTAGCCTGCATTAATATTTTCGGTTTTGATATTCTCAGCCTCGATCTCAGCAATTTCTTTTTTAAGTTTAGGGGATTTCGGCATTCTCCTTTCTGGTCTAGTGATTTCGGCCTTCTTTTTGTAGTTATGGTAATACTTTTTTTTTTGTGTATTTGTTTAATATGTCTGCTTACCTTATGAACGTTACGAATTATCCGAAGGGATTACATTCGCATAGCATGACACCCATCACAAAAATATACTGAGAATAGACATTGATTTGTAATAAAAAACAAGAAACAAACCTATCTATTTGTTGTTCATACACAGTAGGTTTTTTTTCGTCTGTCCGTATCAACCTTATCTGCAGAATTCATTTGCTTATCGATACTGACTGGCTATCGGTTACATGTATGTGAAATATTTAGCAACAGAATGAATTGAAAATCCCACGATATCCGAAAGTTTTCCTTTTTTGCGATACTAAAAATTTCTCAAACTTGTAGTAACAATCAAAGCCCAGAAGTCGTGTATTCGGAACTTTTGTCAAAATAATACAGTATCCGTGCCCGGATGTGTATAACACCCGACGCGTTATAACATTGACGCATTTTATGAAGATTACTTTTTCTTTATTAGTAATGGTTTGTATATTTTATGAAGAATGTGGTGTCCACAAGCATTATAATTGATGATGAATCCGATAATGACGTGAATTACTTTTGCAATATGTTCAAGAACATAGATACATCTTTGATAAACACTTTTGATCAAGGACACATGATGAGGCACTGACTTACAGAGGTTATACCCCTTTACCGTCAATACCATTTTCCACTTTATCGAACTAAAGCGGCATCTGAAAGCAATGCGAGAAAGCTCATTGGTCTCAAAATAGATGGAATAGTATAGGGTAATAGATTTGCCAAACTATCAATGATAAATGTGAGTCTCAGACAACAAACATCTTATATCTTGCGCCATTCAAGATTCTCAAGGCTGTGAATTATTGACTAAATGACAAATAAACTTCTAGTTTCCCGGATCTATATTTCGATTTTCTATATATGCAGCAAGTTCTCCGAAAGGATATTCTGATACAAAGTAGGAAAATCTTATATCATTTCGTTTCTAATTGTTTTCGCGGCTTATTGAAAACAATCGTCAATAAATCTGGTGACTTACCAAAGATCTACTTGATGTTCGCTCCGCCATGCCAAATAATTTTTTGCTAATTGTGAATCACTAAAGAAAAAAAAAAAAAAGCAATTCGAAGACAAAGAGGCAAAAAAGAAGAGTCAAAATACTAGTGGTTTTCCAACCGAACTTTTAATTCGGAATTTTCATCGGTCCGGAAAGTCTGGTTAAATCCGAGGCGGCTCTAAGTCGGTCCTATCTTCCCGTTGTATCTTTGGAAATAACCAGAGTCCCGACTGTACTTTCCGAACAGAATCAAATTTCTACTTATGACGTGTACAATACAGTTTTTGCATATGCTCAATTTAGTTACACATAAGCCACATTTCTTGGAATACATAATACAGTACTGGGCAAACCTTGAAACAATCAAGTTTTTCTTTTATTTGAGTCGATTCCGTGCTTGCTTGCTGTCGAATAAAATTACCAACAAAGATTTACTTACCTCCTTTTCCTCTAAATAAAAGATCTACGAATTTTGATTACGCCATATTTTTCAGATCAATGTAAGTTGATGTACAATGCCTCCAAAGGTAACCGATTTGACTTTTTTCTGTCGAGCGTTATCCAATTTGTTCACGATTGTCTTGGAAAAAGCTGCAGCTTATGCAAGAGTTCTGAATGTAAGCATACAGCATTTCATATCACTATACAGCACGTCACCTTGTTACTACATTTGAAATCCTATTTCTTCAAAGATTCGAGGTCTTTGTATAAAATTATTATAAATCGAATTTGTTAATTCATTCATAAAGACTTTTATTATTATTATTATTTTGATTAGAAATTCAAGAATATATAATAAAATCATGCTATATACTATATACTGTAACAATGAAATGATAGAAATTCTTTGAAAAAACAATAAATATACAGTATCTGCTGCACATGTGTATTTCTTATCAATTAAAAAAAAATAATAATAGATTAAGTGATGAAGATTGAATTTGATTCGTTAGATTATTAATAGGTAATATAAATTGTGCAATAGGAGACTTGAATAACACAAATTACGCAACATCAATGTTTTACTTATGACCTCAGCATCATCGTATGAGTCAGAAGCAGATAAAAAAAGCAAGGCTGATTCGTAACCTGCATATGACCTAAGTGGTGTCACACAAAATTTGTCCATCATTACAGAAGAATTACTTAGCAATCCCCGGCACTTTCTCGAAATTTCCAAGCCAGTTAAAATTATTATATATAAACATTAAATTTTTTCAAAAAAGAATTAACGAAATAAATCTCACTTTTCAACTAAATAAAAAAATCAAAACAAATTTTTTTAAATATATTCAACTGATAATAAAAAAATGAGCGAACAACAACAACAATCGCAAACACAGCCACAAGAGCAACAACGTCGTTCGAACTTTGCGGAATTTTTATTACCATTTACATTCGTAATTCGTCCGCAATCACAACAAACGCAACAACCATCTCAGGGGACGAATGGTCAACCACCATCCCCGGCAGCTATTCACTTTTTCGTCTATCCAATATACGGAGCTGAGGGTGGCGAACAAACGCCACCTTTCATCTTCTTCACACCACTTTTCGTTCCACAAGAAAATCGGAAACATGTATCTGAATCTACCATGAAGAAGTTACCAATTATTGAAATCACCCAACAAGACATCGATGCGCAAGCAACTTGTCCAATTTGCCTGGAGGCATTCTGTTTACCATCCACTGACCAAGAGTCAAATTCGTTGCCTCAGACTGTACGGCAAATGCCCTGTAAACACGTGTTTTGTGAATCGTGCTTATTCCAATGGTTGAAAGAGAATAATACTTGCCCCTTGTGTAGGAAGGAAATTGAAGCAGAGGGCGCTCCGCAACAGCCGCAAAATGAACAAACTGCTGCAGAAAGTACAACTGTGTCTTCTCAAGAAGACGTGACAATGGACGATGCAAGTTTATCAACTGATTCAGACAGTTCTTCTGCATCGTTTTCTCATACTCACTCTCCCTCCCATAATAACAATTATCATCATCATCATCATCAACATCAACAACAAGAAGCACCCCTCAGGTGTGCCCTAGAAAGTGTTGGTTGTTGCGGTGAATCACAGAGCAATGAAGAATCACCTACCGCTTCTCCGTTAATAACTTTACCACAATGTCACCACCAATTTCATGCCTCGTGTCTAAGGACTTCGTTGATCGTTGAAGGTTATTCTTTTGAATCACCCAATTCTCGACCATTGGACTTTTATTGCCCTACATGCCGTTCACCGGCAATCATTCAGAGTGATGTTTTGAAGACATCATCAGTATCATCTCCACCACGAGAACAGCAGCGACCATCATTACCAATCGTGCTTTCTTTACCACCTGATTCGGATGTGATGGATTTGGATTAAATATAATGCCAAATACCATAATATCATCTATAGACATTATTTTATTGCATTCTTTGACTTATCATAGACATTTTAATTCGCAAATAAGCGATTTCTTGTAAAATAAAACAAACTGACAATAGTATAATTGATTTGTAAGCAATTTTCTCATTACGACTTTCTGAACTCCTTCAAACTAAGGATCATTTTCGTAAGATTTGTATAATATGATATTCATAATAATAAAAATAAAACAGCATAATTATTTTTACCATTTTTGAAGACGTACATCAAGTTGAGTTGTTCGGCTAAATTGCTTATGTCAATCATTGCATAAAAAAATACTTGTACTCGGGTTTACTTGTATTCGGCTAAATTGTGAGTCTAGGATTTAGCCGATTGGTGTCAGGCCACATTGTTTGGCCATTCTCATCAATTTAATTAATGATTGTGTTTAAAAAATTGGCATTGTCTAAACCTTAATAGAAAAAAAACGTTGGAACACGTTAACAATTCTTAAATGACGCAAATTATGTACATATTTTATTATAGACATATATAAATCAAAAAGAAATACCTATTGGTATAAATAAAATAAAATAAAAAACTCTTTCCTTATTCTTATCAGGGGCACCATATTCTAGTAGACACTTTTTTTTTATTATCATGATGAAATCCGACTTGACATCACGTCAACAAGCTCGAGACCTGAATATTTAATTTCGTTTCGCTCAGATCACGTGACAGACCGTCGCTCGGACAATTAGAGATCCCTGTTCCGAAAAGACTTCCAAAATAGTTCATTTCCGTGCAAACTCAAATAATTTGCATGACTAATAAACAATTCGCATGACAAATGTTTATTTCTATCGATCCCGTTTTGATCCGGGACTGAGTCGGACCGGTAATTCTCATACAAGCAGATCTCGACGAGGTGTTAGTTCCCATCATCCGAGTTTGGCCCTGCGTACATTTCCTTTGAACGGGTTTAATTACGTGCAGACATACGATAATTAGTAATCCTTGCGTCAGAGTTTATGAAAGTTCTAGAAGATTTTCTCACTAGGAGAAATAAACTTATAAAAACGGATCCAAATTTCCTTCTCGTTTACTCAATATTTTTCCCATCGAAATCATGGCTTTCATCGAGATCTCAAGAGATTACGGATACGTGCGTATTACACATGTTCTTTGCTCAAAGAATATTTTAAATTAAATTTATTATTTTATCACAGGTGATTGTTACTGGCATCGCCTCGTTGTTTATGACCACTTACCTCGGTGTTAAAGTGGGTTCCGCTCGAAAGAAGGCAATGATTCCTTATCCTAACAGTAAGTGTCACTTAATCAGATCGTCATTCCCCACCTGACCCCTTCTTGATCATTAACTTATTCATTCATTCTCTAGTGTATGCTAGCCGAGAAGAATCAGAAAAGGATCACAATAAAATGATCTTCAATTGTTATCAAAGAGCTCACCAGGTGATTGATTACTTTTTTTCATTTATATTATTCCTCTGTTCGCATTACTAATCGATTCCTCATGTATGTATGTTTAGAATACCCTTGAAAACTATCCACAGTTTCTTTTCACGTATGTTCTTGTTATTTTTCTCTGCAATTTTTTTCTCATATTAGACACGTGAACTGATGAATGATTACTATTTCTGTAGTCTCCTGATTGGCGGTTTGAAATACCCACTTCTTTCGTCAATTGGTGGTGGAATCTACATTTTAGGTACGTTGATCTTGTCCCGTTTACTCGTGTCACACACAGATTATTCATGTATCTCATTTATTCAGGTCGCCTAGTGTACGCTTGGGGTTATCAGACTGGGGATCCAACTAAAAGGCATCGAGGTGTATTCGGTTACATCGGTACTTTGATATTAGGCGGTACCTCAATTGCTACAGCCGTTAGTTTATTAACTTAATAACCAATATTGTATAAGAAAATGCATAGCTAGAGCGCGCTTTTGAGTTTACATTAAAATAAATGACAGACTATACATATTCATTTTTTTTAGTTTTTTTTAGTAATTTAGAAATTTTTCGTAGTCTTCCAATCATCTTCGAGTTATGTTATGTAATATCAAACGTTTATTAAAAGTCGCAAGTGGTTTCACACGAACATTATTCATGAATCTCAACGATGACACCTGAAAACAGATTATCATTATATGTTGTATACACACTCGAATAAAAATTCACAAAAAAAAAAGTTTCCTACCAGTTCCAACTGTTTTACCTCCTTCACGGATTGTAAATCTCATCCCCGGCTCGACTGCCATGTCGTGAATAAGTTCACATTCCAATGTAGTATTGTCCCCTGGCATAACAAATTTTTCTTCTGGTT